GGACGCTCTTTTATTCCATTCTCCTAATGATGATTCACGACGGGCCTGATCCAGTCCGGATTGCTGCTGGTTTGTGCGCTGTCCGCCCTGTGTGCTCAGCGGACTTTTGAATGTGGATCCACGTATTTCATCGCCATATATACTTAACGGAAATGGATAAAATTTGGTACAGAATGGTCTGCACGCAACGGCGTCATTTGAATTTCACCCTGGTCTGTACAGATCTTCTCTGACTAGTAAAATTTAAATCAAGTAATTTAAGTAACATGGCGGGCCTGTGACCAGAATTAATTTTGTGAGATTTCAGGTTCTCACGGCGGTGACTATGAAGACGGCTGTCTTGTAGGTTGTTGCATTGGGCCGTGTGGTCAGTCTGGTGGACGTTTACTCGTCGCCCTGGTGATTTTGGGAACTTTATACATCATTCTAAAGACGCTTTCATAAAATAAAATTATATAATACATGTGGCACTTGATAAAAACAATAAGTATCCCGGAAATAGCTGCTGCCCTATGTACCTTAGAGGCAAGGTCTGTCTCGGGTACATGGAAGTAAAAACCCCATAAAGTGGTGAATAGATGGGATAATAATAATAATAATAATAATAATAATAATAATAATAATAATAATTGGCCGTTAACGTAACGTCAGTCAATACGTGATACGTGTCATATATTGAAGATGGCTGTCTTCTGGGTTGCTGCGCCTTGTAGTCTTTTAGAAGTTTATCAACGTTTCAGGGGGTCCTTGCCTCCTTCAACAGGGCGATGAGTAAACACGGCTCAACAACCCAGAAAACGTCAAATCCTACATGACACACAGTCTTTACGGTGAATTCTTGCCTGTGGTACCTGCGAGTTTCGTAACCTTTTGAAAGTTTCTTATTAAAAGAAGTAGACGTATTTGATGCACCCGTTGTTTGACAGCTGAAGGGAGAAAGCTGCCTCTAAGTATTAGGCATACGGAGAAGGTATGGGGGATGTATTGTGCATTCTCCAAGAAGTTTGAAATCCTTCTTGATATAAGAGTGCAGGTTTCTGCGGACAGCCCCGGCTTCAAACTTGATGTAAGCTGCAGGTGACGTTTCTGTCGACTAAGATCGTGAATGAGGCGCACAGCTCTGTACATGAAGCTGTCACTAGTATTCACAACGCGTGTTAGGGTCTCGAAGTCAGTGACGTGGCTGACATTGAGGCATCGCTTGCATGATACGTGGCGACTACGAAGAAGAAGAATACGAGCAACGCATTGCTGGAGATGGCGTTCAGATCTCTCGCCGCCAAGACGGGGAATCCTCCGGTTAGGTACGACGTGATCGTGGTTGTGCCTCCTTCCGGAGTCGATCCGCCCGGTGGAAAACAGTTTTAGAGTCTTTCTTGTTGCCGATTGGTGGAGAGGAGAGCGGGTTCTGTGCAATGAGAGAGATAGAGAGAGACGAGCCTGTGGTTTCCGGGAAGCAGGTGATGGAATTTTGATAGGATTTGACTAAGGGTGTTCCGGTGACCATGCTGGACGGGAAAATATTTGCAGCGATTATGCACCAGGGAGTGGCGAGTTTATCAGGTCCGCGAGGTTGGGAGAGGTGATGGTGGGCGTGCCTCTTTTGGGGGGATCGGTAGGTTCGGTGCTTTGGGGGCAAACAGGCGAGTATTTTCCTAACAACTGAGTTAGGATCTCACGATTTGATGAAGCTGTCAACAGGCTTTGCTTAGCCTGTGGCCATCTTCGATGTATTGGCTTCCCCTCTCTGAGTATGCTCTAACGGTAGCTGCTGATGTTGGCCGTGGCTTCTGTGCGCGGTGGACGTAGGAAACTGGGCTACCGCTGATCGCTGGTTCTATTGTCCTGTGTCTCTTACGTGTTTCGTAATCCTGGTGGAGATGTGACGGCCCACTTGTCAAGCCCAGAACCCGAGGTTTTGCACTGACCTCCAGCCGCGAAAACCTGTGGACATGAACGTTGCATTTTGTTCTGTTGTGGCTGGTTCTCACATTGGTGCGTACTTTTTGCTGTTTACGCCGCCTCCCATTTGCTGCAGTCGTCTTACAAATGTTAAACAAGTATCAGCATGCTGTCTTATTTTCCTGAAAACGTATTACTGAATGGAGGATGCGTCTTATAATCGAGGAAATGCGATAATTTGTTTTCCTGAAAACGTATTACTGAATGGAATCGATAATTTATTCCTGTGTCAGGTCTTTCTTTCTGTTTTCGAGGTCGCTGTATGAACGGGAATTAAAATTGCGATAAATGTTACACGCATGGAAGATGTTAGTGGGGACGGTGGATATTATTAAAATGAATCTGAGGGTAATATGATACGAATGTGGAGACCGTATTGAAGTGGTGCAGGAAATGGCCCAGTGGCGTGTTTTTCTTTGGGAGGGCACCGTAATTGGTCCTCGAATTTCTTTAAATGAGTAGAATTTCTTAAGCAGCCGAATATCAGCTTATTGTGGAGCTGGTGGGTTGGTTTCGATTCTACTCAGTCACATAAATCACCACTCAGTTTATCTGTAAAGCTTACTTCCATCGCCCCGTTTCGTTCGTGCGTCTGGACGCGACGCTGCACTGTGGTAGAAGCTTATTTCTCCTCGGCTTACGTAGGTAAATCAATATCGCTTTGGTATTAGCTCTGTTGGTTGTGACACAAATGTGCCTTAAATTAGTTCTAAAGCGTCTTTTCAATTTATTTACAACTCCGGTATCGCTGTAATAAATCACCCGCGAAACAAAGAACTCTGTTCAGGGTGAAGCCGTAGAATCGGCCCGAGGTGCGGCATTCTTTCCTTGCGCTCGGAGGACTGGTGTAATTAATGTAGTTGTCCTTGCTGCAGTTGTGAGTCGGGTTAGTCCAGTCATGCGGGCTTTAGAACCGGAACTACAAGTTGCTTAGCTTCGCAATGTCTGTCTGTCTGTCTGTCAGCAACAACTCGGGAACCGCTGAGCACACTGTCGCAGAGCTACACCGAAGTGTGTGGGCAGCTGAAACCGGGCGTCTGTGTGGGGAATCCCCAGCTAGCAGCGGAATGTGAGGGAATCCCGTCGTGACGTCATCGTGTAAGGGTGCAGACATTCTCACACACGCTTGGGTCATTGACACCGGAAAACTGACGTCACTGATGTCCTTTACAGTTGCCCAAGGTCAAATTATGGAAAGAACTGTTGCCTCGTGCATGCATTTCCTAACTTGTCGACGTCGGTCTTCTGGGTTATAACGTCGTTTGAAATTGTAGATAGATACGTGAGTTTCGAAAGAAAATGCCGCCTCCATCTTTAGGGTTTACGTGAGGGCAGTATGTTCTTTTAATGACGTCGATTCCAGTTAATTGGGATACGTCGGGACTAGAACATTTGGACAATTAAGAAGCTGCCTTAATTATGCGAAGTTCCACGTAAAGTGTTAAAAAGGTTTGTTTTTTAAGATTTGTCCCAAATAAACGTCCCCAATTAACCGGAATCCACTGTATTTGACTTTGTAACAGAACCGTTTTGCATTTTTAAGAGTAGTCTGAAGAAAGCGTGCTTCGCTTCAATATTAATTATTTATTTGATTTGATATTTGGGGTTTTGAATTTTGTACTTTACACTTTCTGTATTGGTAACGCTAATGTTTTGGTTTTCCTTTGCTCATGTGTGTGCTTGATATTTGTGTCTTTGGCCTTACGATACTGTTCTAACGTTTTCAGATGTGAATGTCCTTTTCAATTGGGCATCACTGTGTGTTTCCAACAGTGCGAAACACCAAGTTTCGTCCGTAACTGTCCAACTGACTGTAAAAGTGCTCTACCGGACGCGTTTGAGGTCTTCGCTCTCAGTAGACCTAAGCTGTTCGTGACACTGTGACCCCACGGCTCCTTAGTAAGAGAGAAGTAGTTACGTGAATGTGTGTCCTGGACATCTCGAAAGCAGAGTTCACCTTCATTTTACCGTGAGGCCTACTCCGGAAATACCATTAACAAAATGCATATTTTCCTTCACATTTTTTCGTAAGTGACAAGGGGACAGAAAAAGGAGATTATGAAAAATTGTAATTGTGACGCCAGTATCACTTCCGGCTTTGGACTGCTAAGGTTTTAAGCGCCTAATGTTTGTTGCGCTCGGTGCACAGATGAATACGTGCGATACTGTGAAACGTTTAGTGCTTCCTGGATTTCTGCGGGTTCAGTGACGGTGTGTGTCATGGATATTATAAACAGTTTGCACAGAGTTTTTATTTGTAGCGGTATCCCGTACCAGTCATTAATATCTCTTGCTTTACGCTCTAAATGGAGCTGTCAATAAGGACTGATCAGTTGATACTGCGTTCTCCCTGGGGTCCATTTACGTGCGGAGCTCTGAACTTGACATCAGGGACAGATTTTTGTATATAGTCTGTGTGATTTGTCTTTTTTCTATTGTAATTCTGAAAGTGACATTTAAAGCCTGTTTTATCTGTGATTATTTTTCATTTCCATCTAACTGGTTATCGTTCACCTGTTCATAAATGTGGCTGAAGGGGTCTCTTCCCTTCGGATTTTGTGGCTAAAACTGTCGCTTTCATGAGTGCTGTGCCCCACTCATCACGTCGTTGATTCGGTAACTCTAATGATATTTGGTGGAAAAGCATGAAAATTCTCGACCCATCAGTACATGGGTTCGATCGGGACCTCGACATTTAACGCTCCTGCTGTTTGTAATGGAGTTGCATTCCAGGCAGAAAATTTTTTGCGCATTTCTTTGGTTGAAACATCATTCAGAGTGTGAAAGGAAGATCATAATGAGACTGACTAACTGTAAAGTAAACCCGTTGATCGTGTTTTTCAAAGAGAATTATTCTTGAGAACGCAATTGTTGTATGTTGTGATGAAAATGAAAGCATTTACCAGTTTTGTTATTTAATTGTCAGAACTCATATTTATGTGCCTGTATGCGTTTTTTTGTTCACGAGATTATCACGTGTGAGTTTTTGCACTGTTTGTTCTCCAGTTCTGAGTCTGAATTGTTTTTCATTGTTTCAGATGATATCTGAATACTGCAAGACTCGCACTGAGACCAAACCATTCTCGCATCTTGTGACGGACATGTACAGGGAAGTGTTGGCAACTCCCCCTCAGGCAAGTAAGGCAAGTGATATGTACAGTGAAATTATTTAGGTTGGCCAGTTAATTTGTTTCAGTTCTTCACATATTCTTATTTTGCTATAGCACAACAGGTATAAATATGAAAATTGTATTTTTGTGTCTTGAGATGCAGAGATGTGGATTTAATTTTGATATTTGCTGAAAATTACTGTCTTCTGAGTTGTTGCACCATGCGATCTGAAATGTCAGTAAGTTTCTACCAGAGTGCATGGCGCCACAGCGCGGAAGACAGTCATCATACTTGCCACCATGATAACCTGAAATCTTAAGTCATATTTCTTACCGTCCTCCACAATTTTGTGTCTAAAGCTAATAATATGAATAACTTGCAATATCATATTATTATTCTTCTCCTCCTCCTCCTCCTCCTCCTCTTGGCACTCCCCACTATCCTCCTTCCATGATATTTGCTTTCTGGCCTGCTCTATCTCAGAATTGAATCTTAGGCACGCTGTCAGAGGGAACATCCATTCCCATTTTTCCGTATGACACAGATTTGCATATTGTATGTTACCTGACTGTATGACTTTCTTTCACAGAGTTTATTGTCATCTGTGGGTTTTTAAAATGCGTCTTTGTGTTGTAGTGCCTTCCATCGAACCAAAATGTGATACACCCTAACACTGTGATGGATTCTGCACAGAGGACCAATAGTTTTCCAAAGGAATACCAGAGACGTGACACTGAAGAAAGAAATACAAAAATTAATAAGAGGTAAAACTCATATTTAAACTTTCTTTACCTGTTCAGTGTCACAGTACTAACAGGTAAAATCCATCCTGTTATGCGCCATGTAGACACTTAGGGGGAGAGGAGGTAGAGCTCCTACTCATTCTCAGCCTTGGCACTAGATGGGAGTGATTGGTCAGCATCAAACCCTGGCTACTCTCTACCCCTGGGGAAAGGATTCCCAGTACCCATTGGACAGGGGCTGGGTATGCGCCAGAGCTGGTCTAGAAGAAAATCCTCTGCCCATGTTGGGGATCAAACCCTGATTGTCCAACCTGTAGTCAGTCTCTATACTGACTGAGCTTTTTCTAGGTGCTCCTGACAAGTAACGGGCCAAGTATCTGTCATGCGGTGTTTTAATTTCCTGTCTGTCTCCAGGCATTGTATCGAATAGCAGTAAAACCCCAAAAGTTTCTTCTGTCTTTTGCCCATCCCCTAGAACTAACTATCTTTGTTGACGAGGTCATTATGTCAGCTGCGAATGGGTTAATATCAGCTCCAGAACAATGATTAATATCTAAGAATTAAAAATAATTTTTGTTGTACAAAACTTGCTTCATTTACAGAATGAAACTGCCTTCTACACCTCTGTAGGGTTCATCACAGTTTTCCTTATGTGACTGAATATGTCTCTTTAAATGTCATGTTGTGGTGTCACAAATATTTGTTAACACTTCCAGTGAAATAAAATAATACTTTGTTTTGGTGCATTCAAGTTTGTATTTATTAATTTCTTTCATTTTGTAGCTACTCACTGGCCTCTAAAACCGACCGTGGTTCGAGACTTGCTCCACAGAGAGCGCCTTCTAGATTATATCGAACTGCATCGTCATCGAGAGACATAGAACCTTGTGCGAAATACTGCTGTCCCAACACTTGCATCGGCCCCGAATTCATTATAAAGGCTACAAAGCCCAGCAAATGTATCCATATTAAAGGAGTGAAGGTACATGGATCTTAGAAAATTTTTATCAGGATACGTTGGACTTGCATGGGACATCAGCTGTTAGTCTGTGGAGAGAAATAAACAGATGTTCTATCAGATACGAGGAAGAAAACATGGAGAAATGTACAGAAAAAGTATATGTTTATGTTTTGTCATTGGAGTGCATTCAAAAAGCATAATACAAAGTTAAATAATGAATTCTTTCAAAATGTGGCCAAGTGCAGCCATTTAAGAATGGGAGTAAAAAATCAAAATGGAATTTAAAAATAAATTAAATGTAAATTAATTACAGGGAATGTTACTATCTTGCAGCGTAGAATATTTTGTGTTCCAAAGTGCTATCTAAAAATTTGAACATTAAAATGTACAGAACTGTAATTGTGTCTGTTGTTTTATATGTGTCCAAAACTGGGCGTCTTATATTAACCGTTATTATGCAATAACAGGGGATTTAGATTCCCATGCTAGGGGACTGCTGACCTGACTTTAACTCTGGTTTAATTTCATGCTAATCTGACACGTGTTCAGCTTGATCATGTGTGAGCAATGTTGAGTGTGTGGTTAAAGTTAAGGGTTGAGGGTGCAGGGGAGGATATTTGTCCTCCAGGTTGGGGGTTTGTCGCAAGGCTAACAACCTTGCACCATAAAAAGGAAGATATTTCGAAACTTCAATCAAAGCCTCCGACAGAATGGACCTAACAGAGGACCGAATGGAAGAGGAGAGTTGAGGAGGCCATGGACCGAATACGGACCATAGAGCCATAGAAGACGAAGAAGAAGGGATGAAGTGACAGGAGAGTGGATAAAATTGCATAATAAGGGGAGCTCTCCAATTTGTACTCTTCATCAAGTGTTATTGATTAGACTAGCTCGATGTAGCAGTCCTTCAGAAGTTGATAGTTGTTCAGCTAGTTCAGAAATTCCCTGCCTGTTATGAGCCTTTTAAGCTTCGTTACTGTGTTCACAAGAGCCTCCGTACCCTCCTTTAAGAGCCCTTTTAATACCATCATCCCACATGCATCTACAACTTCTGAATTCACCAAGTACTGTTAGGGTGATCAAAGGATGAAGGTGAAGGAGGGTGAGGTGGATGGAACATGTTGGATGTATAGAATAAATGAGAAGTCCTCCGAACATTTCAATTTAAAAACCTGAAGGGAAGATTCATAGGAACAGATGGGAGGAAAATGTTAAAATTAATCTAGATCAGTTAGGGCGTAAAGATGTCAGTGGGATCCTTCTGGCTCGTTATACAGGCCAAGTGATGGGCTTTTTTGAATGTGACAATAAAGCTTTTGGTGCCATGAAAAGCAAGAAATCTGTTCGCCAACTTTCTTGTCTTTCTTGAAAGACTGCTCCATGGTGTCAGCCGATGGATAACATGCATAAGTGTAACCATATATTAAAGTAATTAAATGTGATATTTTTCATTAAGTATTATTTTTTATTCCAGTCAGGAAAACTAGCAATGGCTGGGGGTTTGTCGTGCTGACCACACGTCACCCTATATCTGGTTGGATGATCGTTCACTTCTGCTTAGGCATGTGAACATGAGGCCGGCAGTCAAGCTAGTCGGCTTTGGCTCTCTGGAGCTGTTATGCCACGGATTTAATTTTTATTATTTTTGATAGTTACTTTAGTTTTGCATGGTTATTGGTTTCAGTAACGTGTTTGTAAATTTGTGAAATTGCAAGCTCTAACAGTAATAAGAATGAAGACTGTCTTCTGGGACATTTTTCCACGTAGCCTGATAGATACTGACTGACGTTTCTGAGGTGCTTACTGCCATTATTAATAGCGGTTCTCTGAAACATCATCTGCTACACTGTGTGGTACAACATTTCAGGAGATGGCCATCTTCATATTCATTATTTTATTTAAGTGGTTCGTGTTAATGTGGGGCCAAGGCATGCGTGCAGCGAAAAATTTGACCAGATAACTGCAGTGGACGTTCATGAGAAACAGAAACTGATGTCTTAAACTATTATATTTGTATACAAAAGTGATCTAACAATTTTCTATAATTTATTTCTAGGCAGCATGTAGGAAGAAAGTTGTAGTCATATTACTAAATGGACAGAAGATCGATGTCACATGTGATCAAAACACAACTGCGAGACAGATATTTGAGGTATAAACTTCTGCATATGAACTTTATTATCTATTTTATATTTGTGCCTGATTTTGTCTTTTTTTGCAGGAATTTTTTAATTACTCAGTAAAATTAATCCTGAAATTGTTGGTGTAATTACATTTTTTGGAGCTCCTCATGGAGCAGAGCAATTTTAGTGTTGTATGGGGCAGTTGTACTCACTTTCAGCCCCATTGATTTTAGTGAAATTATGTACACAACGTTGATTGAGGCGTGGGGGGTGGCAGCCGCTGGTACCACCTACAGTTCTCTCTCACTATGTGTCTGACTACTATTCAGGATCATCTCATGGAAGATTTTTGACAAAAACCAGTGAACACAACTGTGATAGAACCCAGTGGGTGTATATTGAACAAAGGAGATAAATACAGCCCTCATAACTATAAGCATGAATACTGAAAATTAAACTTGGTGTTGTGTTACTTTGTGGCCACAGTAGCAGACAGCATCAATATGGCCGGCAATAATACAGGTTAATACAGAAGAATAATAATGAAATACAGAAACACAGAGAATGGCGGATAAGGTCCTGTTGGTCTAATAAAATAATGCTAAAAGCTCTGGAGATGAACACAAGACAAAATTTAGATCAAAGAGACAAATTTAGAATCCATCATTCAAAAGAGAACTTTGAAACACATGACCTACCCTCCAAGGAGACTTCCAGGTGGAGGTAGTATGGGAAGTTGCAGGATGCATGAAAAAGTGGTGTGTGACGTGAACTAAAGTATTATAACAACTCGGCAGGGATTCATGGCACAGGATGTATCTCTGACAATGCAGTGAATCCACCACTAAACATGTACAGTTTGAGTACAGATTTTAAGTGACTGTGTTGATGGTCTAATTGTTTATAAACTGGCAGTGCAAGTATGTAACATGGATGACATTACAATTGTCTGTGTGTAATGCTGTCCTTGCACCAGCAATGGCTCATGATGTCATATGCATTCATATAAATTTTTAATTTTTTTTCAAACAATCGGCATCCAGTTGCCACAAAAACACATGAGGGCACAAGATATTAGTAAATGGAATAAGAATTGGCATTTATAGATGAATTTCAAGTAAAAATTTATGGTGTGGTTTGTCTGTTCCCCATGGCCACACGTCTCCTGGGTCCGATAGCGAATGTGATGTTGAGTTCTTGTGAACGTGACTGCCTTGTCAGATGTTATCCCGTGTGGTCTGGTACAAATTGACGAATGTTTCAGAGGTGCTTATCGCCAGAGCCTTCTTCCCTGACCACACGGCATCTTCCTCTTGCAAAAAGTACTGTGCATAATTTATCACTTTTTGATACTCCACTGTCTTCCGTTAGACATGTTCCTGTTCTGATTATTTTGTACCTATTTCAGGTTGTAGTGATCAGTGAGGGACTTGAAGACAACTTCACATTAGGCCTTGCAGCTTTGTTAGGTGGTGACTTTGCTTTTCTACCCCACAAAACCAAGTTACGTAAGGTGGCACCTGTGGGATGGCGTGGAGACTCCAAGAAGGATGCTGTACAAAGCTACACATTTACTTTATATCTCAGGGTCAAGTTCTTCATGCCAAGTCTGAGAGGAGTACGGTACGTGTCTGCTGCTTCTTTATCACGCATACTACTAATAAAAATTATTGGTCATGTGCCCCATATGACCACATGGCCATACAGTAGTGTCCATGTCTGTCCATCCATCAATCCATCCGTCCATTTGTGTCTATGTGAGGCAAATTGAGAATCCCATTGCTTGTGAGGGTTGCATGTGTAGAAGGGTGAACATATCTGTCCATCACTATGTCAGGGCGAGTTTTGTTAGGCTAGTCTAGGTTACGCTGGACAGTAGACTATATATGATTTGGGAAATTCAAGAGAGAGATGCTGCAAATTCCTGTCCTTTTATTCATTTTCATTATGCCCAAAATATTTTCATAGTTTTTCACATGATCTGGCTGGCTGTGCGTCACACTAGCATTCTGCTAAACTGTTAACACCTGGAGCTAAAATCCAGCCAGTCCAGATTGAGCTTTAAATTCCCGATTTCTGTATGGTAAAAGTGAATCATCCTGTGATATGATGCTATGTAATGTTTTCAACTGGAAGCATTTTTAACATCCAGAATAAGAATGAAACAACTGTATGGAAAATATAGTTTTGTAACAATCATAAATTATGCTAGATACATTTTATTTTATAATATTCTGTATGTTAAACTTTCTTTGTTAGTTCTGTTGGTCATATTCAAGAGATCATTACTGATGTAGTATGATTTGCTTTGTGCCTGCTTTTGTAGGAATTGGACCATGAAGCATTTATTGTATCTTCAGTTGCGTAGGAATTTGTTAGAGCAGCAAATACAGTGTAACATAGACCAGCACATTGCTTTGAGTGGCCTTGCTCTTCAGTCTGAGTTTGGAGACTACTTGGATCAGGTAAAATATGTATAGTGCTAAGAAAATCTTATATGGAATCATTCTGCTTGTGGAGAATTGGGATATCACACAACTTCCTTGTTGTATGTGGGAGGGGGGAGTTTTTACGTCAGAACTAAAAAAATGACAATGTTTGTATCATGTTGTTTAACCAATTTGCCATAAGTTAAACCACTGTCACACAGTGCAGGGACATTTAATTATCATCATAGTGTTAAACAATTGATGGAAAGTGTCTTTTCATATTTTGTTTGAATTGTGCTAATGTGTAGTCGTACCACATTTGCAGATTTCTTCCAGAAATAGGGATTAGCTCTGTCAATTGGGCCAAACAGAGTAGGTTTTATCTGAAGACGGAAATAGACTCCCATCTCCGAAACGTCATGGTTTTTATTGATTTGATTTAATATTGGACGATGGATAAGGTCTAGAAAACAATTTGCTTCAGACTTCTTTATGCAGCATGCTTACTTTTATTGGGATAAATTGTTTCTTTTGCAAATATTGCTCGTTCGTATGCTTAATGGTGGCCTCATATGCAAGAACATGTTAAAAAAATTTAAATAATGCATGTATTGGTTATTAAATGCAAATGAAGGAAGTTCTGTGTTTAGAACTTTCAGATTTACAGCCTGTATTTTCATAACGTGCACATTGAATGCTATCAGCTCGGACGTTTGCTGCCTCCAGTGTTTATTTTGTATAAGGGATTTTCCATCAGGTTAGAAGACTAGTATAAATTATTTTGTGTCAAAGATGAGGGATAGAGGTATGATTCTGAAGGAATGTAGAGAATATAAAAATGTTAAAACAAATGTAGACATATTCAGGTGGACATGAGAACAGGGAGTTATGTCCAACATTGTAAAATGAACCAACAGACTGATAAATGTCAATGTAAATTTCTGTAAGGTGCAAAATATCTTTGTTTTAAGGAACATGGGCACGGGGCCTACTTCTTACTGGAACATTATATTCCTGAAAGTCTGCTTGTCCAGCATGAAGATGAACAGGCTCTAAGGGCACAAATGCAGTTGCTGCACAAAAAAAGACACGGTTTGGATCCTGGAAGAGCAGAAGAGATATACATTAATCTAGTTCAAATGTTGAAAGGATATGGTACACATTTTTATAATGCAGTGTTGGTGAGAGCCTTTTTTAAAACTTACAATCCCTTGTTTTTAGTAGCGTGATTTACGCCACTCTAGTTCTGCAAAGTGATTACATGACTAGTTAAATTATGGTGGTGATACGTTTCACATTTATACAGAACAACGTGAGCTTGATCCCTTTTAGAATTTTCTATCTCTGATCTATAATTGACTGATTTATGTTTTGGAGATAAGTTAGAAGGGAAGAAAGCATTTGCAGTTGTTCCACTATATCTTCGGGTTTCAAAGGAATAGATCATTTTGTCTTAAGAGTGGTTAAGTAAAGAAAGTACGAATATGGCTGTCTTCTGGGTTGTAGCATCACGTAGTCTGGTAGAAGTTTACCAACATTTCAAAGACAGCAGTTATCACCCTGATGATGGAGGCAGCAAGCACCTCTGAAACATCAGTAAGGTTTTACCAGACCGCATGGTGTGACATCCCAGAAGACAGTTACTTTCATACTCACTGCTGTGAGATGCTGAAATCTTATACAAATATGTGGCTCTTCTTGATACAGTGATGTATTATTTTCAGGAGACAAAGGATGAGTACAGTCATGAAATGTTGCTTGCAATTGACTCCCAAGGTTTGGCGCTATATAAAAATCACAGAAATGAGAGACATTTGCATGAGTTCTTAATTTGGAAAAGAATACAGTTGCTTTCATACAACAAACAGTACCTCTTCATCATGCCTCAGTATGACAATAAGGGAACTCTGAAGCCCACAAAGTACAAACTGCAAATGGACCACAAAAAGTGAGTGATTTATTCTGCTGTACTGTATTTAGTTAATCTGTATGTTATTACAAGTCTGATAGCTGTGATGGTAAAGCATTTTTTACAGACTAGATATCTACGTTTTTATCTCAAGGCAAAGAAATTCGGAGATTTTCTCTTCTGCGTTATCAGACTACTAGCTCACGGTAGTCTTTCGTTGTTTCTCAGTCTATTCCATGTGACAGAATACTAAAATTGAAGTATATCACAGCACACCAAATCACATGTCAGCATCAATTATGTGTGCACATAGCATGTATATTGTATTATTCATAATTACTTATAAATAAGTGTATTTATTACAGTCTGATCTGTTTAGGTGTTGCTGAAATAAGAATGTTGTGAACATGAAGCAAGGGATGGTACATTGCTCTTCTATTGTGTGTGTGTGTTCATAAAACTTGAGAGTTTGATGTGTGATAGCCACTGTGTATGTACAGCATAAATATCATGGGAAATTGAAGATAGCATTGATTGCACAAAAGTGAAAAATGTCGGTTCTGTGGTCTGCTAAGTTTTGGTGTGACACACCAAAACTTAGCACAGGTTTTATCTTATGTGTGGTGTTTGAAGAGTTTGCAAATACAAATCCATAATGCTGTGGTATTAAACATTTGAAGAAATAGGTTTATTACTAAACCACATGCCAGTAATCATGTCAGCCTGAGAAAAAAACTGATGTTTCTGCTTCATTCTCAAGGTGGGTGTGCCAGTGCATTATCAGGTGGTGCATGAAAATGACCCATATCACATGTAGGATGTTCAAGCATTACATGAACAGTACCACCGAGTACATTTCATATTTGTCTTCTACAAATTAATGGAGTTGGACATGAATTTTTTGAACAGGTAGCTCCTCACAGATGAGGTGGCAGTCCATGTCATCAGTAGGGTGAACCTATTACTTGGGGTACTGAAAACCCATATGCCTTGTGTGGACTTGAAAGGGCAAGTTGCAAGGCTGTTCAGGAGCCATGCCCTAACGTGCTGCAACTTTAACTCATTCATCACTGAATTTCAGTGAGTCCTTCCCAGCAGTATTTATATTTTCTTTCTTTCTGTTTACAGGAGTTTCTATGTGTTTCATCTTGCTTCTTTTCATCACCAGATATCTATGAAGCTCAGGTTTGATGTCAACTCGCTGCGTTCGCTCACGGCAGGTATGGGTTGTGTCTTTTTCAACTTTCAGTGTCTTGCAGTCAGTTCTGTTCCATTGTACTGTGCATCAGTTAGGTGAAAGCAATAGTGTACACTTGTGAGTCCTAAGTACAATGGCTGAAAATCAAGATTGTATTGACAGTAAAAGTAAAGTCTGAGTTAACTGAAAATTTTTAGATCGGGTAATCGGTGACAAAATTATTCGAAGGCTATTGGTCAGGGAGAAAACTTGAAACAGAATCAAATACGCAATGCCAATGCATCTGGATTATACTGGAAAGGCTTACTAAGAAGTTTTAAAACCTTAACTGGCACATTTTGTGACATCACGTAACCAAACTGTCTCTTCTCATTTAAATATGAGAAAAGGTTTTTTTTGTACATCTTGATATTTGCTGATGCATAAACTGTACAGTTTCCAGGTAAAATGATGTGGACCAAATAGTTACAGTTGACCAAACATTGATATCCTGTTTGAAATGAAGAAACAGTAATTCTGAAAGTGCTGGATATGGCAGGGAATGTTTTGCAGTGAATGAAAACAGTTATTTATTGAAATCTGGCTTTTGGGTTGAGTCACCTGCTGCCTGCTCTGTATAAGGCTTCCAAAAATTTCTCCACTGCAGATTTACTCTAAAGATGGCAGTGTTTGCCGAAACATTGGATAATACTCAACATTCGACATGGCTGACACTCTGTATATGGCTTAATGGTTGATACAGCTCACACAAATAATGTTATGAAATCTACAGATGCATGTTATATATTTCCTTGTGTAACAGTCTGTATTACGCAAGTTGAATCCTGGAGTATGACGTGTATCTAGTTTTTATGGAAAGGTTTTGGAAGTAATTTGCTCTTGGTATTTGGTGAGTACAGTATGCATAAAAACACGGACTTGAGAAAATTGAAGCGTGTGTTTCCGAAGTGCAGTAGCTTGGTCATAGTTTTTAAAATATTCAGGATAATGTATAATATCTGTTACTGCCACTTTCCGATAGTTGTGATGTATGATAAATTAAATTTGTTAGCGGCTGTTGCCTTTCTGGAACAGTGGAACTGAGTTGCTTATATATAGATAAGATATCTGGGTCGCACTGGGACAACTAATCTTATTCAGATTTACTTACAGGTCGTTTGTTTATTTAATATATATTTTGTGGTTTTCTTCCTTATTTGTGTAGAAGATCTTGCCTTTTCCACATTTCTTAATTTTTTGTTTTAGAATTTGGAGTGTCCATCAGAAATCACCTTGGCAGGGAGAGTAGATTGTATCATATTGAGAACAATGAAACTGGTAACTCACGTAGACAGCAATGTGTGTTAATTGCACCTTGTAACGTTAAGCATACACAGAAGGCTGTTGCAGTAATCCAAAGAGATAACAAAGCAGATGTTGCTAATGTAGTGCCATTCTGTGACCGCCTTGGAGTTTCACAGTACTTGAAACAAATTAACATAGAAGAACATCAAAATAAGGAAAATGAAAATCCTGAAGCACAGAAAGTGCATTATTGTAATTCTTATACATTAGCTGTCAGAAATGAGCAAAGAAAAGCTACAAACAGCAGAACAGATATACAAGATCATGTTTGTTCCGCATTATCGAGGAACACAGTGAATGACATCAAAGGTACAAGTTTCCCGTACAGTGAATGACGTCAAAGGTACAAGTTTCCCACAGCGAATCAGAGTTCGGATGGGTACCAAGGCCTTCTTCAGTGATGTCCGCAAGGAAAGTTCCTGTTCATATCAGAAACCATGTGATACAGCATCCACAATAATATCAAGCTCTTCTAAGCATTCCTCTCTGCAAGATGCATATGTTCTTAGTAAGTAGCTTTGCATTTTCGCAGTGTATTTGCCTTCAGTTTTTCCTTCATGTCAGTAATGAGACACTTTCTAGTGGAAGGTTGATCTTTTGTCGCTAATAATTCATCACTTCTTACTTCTTAAATCAGTGGGCTGCATGTGACTCAAATTTTGCTAACAGGAAGGAGCAGCAGTTGGATTGCCTTACAACGAAGAACCGAAGAAACTGTTATCACTGCATTTCACATCATAATTGACGAAACTTGAAGCACAGTAAAAAAAGTTAAGAATACTTCGCATTTTGTATCATATGAGTTGTCTTTGGTAGTTTGCATTAATTATCCATCATATATTTGAGTGAAGTATGAAAAATTGGCTAAAGTTATGAAAGTTTCATGAACATAAATTCTATTACTTTTCCACAGAGTATTAAATCACTAAACTATGTAATATTCCTAAACCTTAAGCTTCAGCATTACAACACATTCCAGTGGATACTTTATGTTTGTCAGTTGTTCCTTTATGAGGTGGGTTATTCTGGCACTTAACAATGATCACATGTATTTTCCCTATCCTTTATAGCCATTTAAGCTTTATAACTCTAAAAGGTTCTAATAATGGTGTGTTACACTCAGTATCGTTTTTATTATGGATTAAGTCTTTTGTTCTGTTTATTAAAATGAAGCCACAGTGTTTCAAGGGCTGACTCTGCCTCTGTTTTCAGGTGAAAAAGCCTCCTCTGTTGGGTCCACTAGAAGGGCTAATCCCAATCTCAGTTGACTCGAAGTTTCCAGAGATTGGGATTAGTCATTCTAGAGGAACCAAATGGAGCATGTTTTTATGACCTGAAGGTGGGGGGCATAGCCAGCTTTTGAAATGTTGTGGCTCCATTTTATTATACAGAATGATGGATTTAGTCCACAATATTTAAGGCACATGACCTTTACATTCATTGAAGCACGTGAAAATAAATATGAAATGGCGGCAAATCATCAGGGCAGTTCTGATGACACATCACTGCAGGCAACCCAGTGGGATCAAAATTTCTGATACCCCAAAGTTGCTTCATCTCCTTTGTGGCATGTGGATAGTTAAACTAGGTTATAAAACATAGAAAAATACAGTAGTTTTCTGGCTTTACATTATCATGGTGATGATTGTGATATTTTGCAGTTTTGTAGGTGGTTACTGGTTACCAATATCTTGGAGGAACTTACCACCTCAGAGATGGAAGTGGTTAAGTTTCTTCAGAACACTGGTAACCACCTACAAGACTACATGATGTCACCATCCAGAAGCCACAATCAACAAATAAAGTAGCTGATATAATAACTCTTATGTTTCAGACTATATTTTTTATCTATTAAAGGTAATGTTATAATATAATGGTAATGTTTCTTATAAAATTGTATCAGAGTTTAGTTGAAAGGTTATGTTTGAGAATGAGTTGTATTTATCTATATATCTTTTCCAGATTCAAGTATAAAATCAGCTGCAGAAAAATTTGAAGTTGATTTTCAAGAAACACTGAGTGAATCATTGCTAGAGAAGTTTGATACATTATCTTGCAAAGAGGAAAGAATCCTAAGAACTGTAAAGTAAGTATAAAAACTTCTGGTGTGAATTAATTTAATGAAACAGTGGAAATCAGGCAAAAGTTTCTTATGTGTTACAAGGTGAGATAATTACCTTGTGATGGGGTAGAGTAGAGACTGGAGTCTTTGTTTTATTGACCACTTCCCTTATCTTATTATCCTGAATTAATTGAGGTTTAATAAGTATGCTTATGCTGTGAGCATTGCATAAACTGTCATGCTCAGATGCTGTCTATTTCATTATATTTATGCTGTTACTGTGAAGGCTTCGTCGTTAACATTATGATTAATTGTGCGTAGACCACACAGAACACATTGGCAGACTGCAGGTTGAGAACCCCTGGACTATCTTATTCCATTCAGTGTTAAATTTCTGGAGTGAGAGGTGACTTTCTCTGGAATTAGATACAATTGATATGAGGCCAGCGCTGATATTTTTATGACCTGTTACTTGAACAGCCTGCTGCCCTAACTACAGATTGAATACAGTTTTCCTAAAAAACAGCCTCATTATTTGAAAAATTGCAATTTTTTTCATTGTTCATGTTTGCTGTGTAGGATAAGAAGAGATGAATGTGGAAATTTAGGCCTTCAGATCAAGGCAGGCTCAGGTGGTGGAGGATTGTACGTCCAGTCCGTTGTACCAGACGGCCCTGCTGCTGCACTGGGGACTATCCGCAGAGGTGAGACACTGTGGTTTTAACTCCTTGTTATATATATATAGTGAAGGGTTGGAAATACTTATGAAATAAATTGGTTTTAATGTGATAGAATCTTGACTAAACTAATATATGTTTTTGTAAATGGATATCTGGGGGCATTAGTTAGTTAATCCACACTTTACAAAAATTAAGATAATGGAGACAAAGTTAAACATGGTGTTTCGAATTCAACTTTGTAGGATACTGAAAGACATGAATTTGAAGATGATAAACCATGTGTGGCTTACCACATTTCCATTTAAAACAGCGGGTGATGATGGGGTTGCATTTTTTAATTATTCCAGATTTTCCAACATGGATGTTTAAGTGGATGTGTACATATACACCAGGAAGTTGGTTAGTCACACCAAAAAGCATGGTCGTGCACACGTGTTTTAACTCTGCAGTCAGCTACCCAATCACTTTTAGGGTGTTCTGTTGTTCAAATCCATATATTCTCAGTTCTTGTCAGCTTACAAGAATAAGCAAGTGGTGTTCTGTCTCCACACATGCACATTGCATAATCTCCTATTCTAGGGGCAGTAACTGAACACAAGTGACCCGTTGCATTGACATATTTTCACAACTTCAGAGTCTGGTGTACTTAGACCAAAGAAGCTTCTGGACAAGGAAAGAAAGATGTCTTTAGGATGTGTGGCAAAGTATACAGAATGCGTCTGCACAGTTTTCTCAGACATCAAAGCAGTTTGAGTGTACAAGGGTCTTTGTTCAGTGAAGTGCCATTAGCTGAATGTGGACTTGTCAAAATAAGACAAAAAACAGTTGTGTGTTTTTTGCATCCTGTGACAAACATGAAAGTTAGATACAGTAGGGCACCGCTTATACGGCGGGTTAGGGACCAGACCCCCGCCGTAAAGCGAAAATCGCCGAAAAGCGGATCTTTGCCTTATTTCACTTGCAAATGCATATCAAAGCCTTATAAGATGTTACACTATCATATAGTAAGTGCACAATAGCGCTAGGCCTAAGAAAACGATATGAAATTAAAATGAATATCAGTAATACACACATTGTCCTCAGCTTATAGTGATTGGTGAAT